GCTACTCTCTGAATCCCGCACACACTGTAATATACAGGTCAGTGGGCAGGAAAACACTAGACCAAACGATGGCTTGGACACGTATTTGTGAGCCTCATATGCTCTATCTCTATAGCCTGTGGTCCAAAATGTGTCATGACGTGATCTGCTGTGGATAAACAGAAGACTGATCAATTGCTTGGGTTGAGTTATCATCTGAGGTGTGTCTGTGTTACAAACAGATACCTCTCTCATTATTCTGGCAGCTGCTGTTAAGGACAGCATCAAACAAGCAACAAAAATGAGGAGGATGTTGAAGGAACTAATCAAAGGGCTAATGTTTCAGCATAGGTAGAGAACAATTTTGAGGCATAATACAGCCCAGATTTTCAAAGGTCTGTAACTTCTGATTTCAGTACTTTTGCAAGTGTCTGAAACAGACCCCAAAATCCTTCAAGCTGGAGCCTAAACCCAGCTGTGACACACGCAAATGCAACTGTGTGTGTAATATAACGGGATTTGCATTAAAACCAAATTAAAGATTATTACAGGAATGGAAGCCATACAAATAAGCAACAACAACATATTTCAGCTATTTTATCTTTCAAACATACAACATGATATAGTTGTACCAGGGACTGAAAGGATGTAAATTTACTATGGAGTCCTAAATCAGATGCACTGAGATAACAGGCACATCCCATCCCAGTTTCCTGACAACCAGCTAATACACACACAAATAAATAATACAGAAGCTAACAGAGAATGTGCAACAAAATTCTACTTAAAGTTCTTTTCTAGAATAACAACTATTTTTTTTCCAAAGATTTATGTGGCATCTTGGTAGCTGGATGTCTTGGTGGTTTAAAGGAATATCTAGCTGGAACACTTAGATAATTCACAGAAGTAACTCAGAGACCTTCAAGATGGCATCTGCTCTCTCCTCAATATATTCTGAAGCATGCTGAGTTCACTGCAAGCAGGCAGATATCTGACTTGGCAGGTTCTTGTCTGAATTTGATATGCCATAAATCACATCATGGTGATCAACTATCACATCATGGTGGAAAACCTGTGGAACTTTCTAGACCTGGTATTCCTGACTATTGGCTATCCAGTGGCCAAGAAACAGCCAGCTGAGGAACAGCTCCGTGGATGATGAAGCAATCAATATTATGTGGTAAAATACTGTATGCAAGTATGCAAGCCAGAATCTCGCTGTATGATTGTTTCAGGTAAGTTTGGCCCAAGTTCTCGACCACTTATGAAAATGAATTTAATTTTTCCACTGTCTCACCTATTGTATCTTGTACCAAGTGAGCAATCTAAGCTCTCTCCCATCTGAATTCATATTTCCCCATCCCAAAACACAATAATCAGACACTTAAGTTTCCAAGGCCAAATGCTAGGATCGTTTTTATGAACAAGCAAGCTGTGTGGGAGATGTATGACAGGCATAGTTTCACTTTTCTTTCTGCAATATGTGAACAGGAAGTATTATTCTCAGTTTAATTCTGGAGAATAAAGAGAAGATGAAATAGCAATGGATTTATTCTATTCAAGAAAAGAAAATGAAGGGTGAGGCTTTCTTGGCGCAGTATAACAATTTTTTTACTAAAAGTAGTTGGTATCTAGATAGAAGTATGCAGGGTCTTAATATGCACGTTTGCCAGTCCCAGAACTAGGGTGAAATTGCAGTTAGAAATTAGTTAAAGCCAAATTTATAGTCAGCTAAGGCAAACAGAGGATATGGATTCAGTTGATTAAAGCAAATCTGAACAAAAAGCCTAAAAAAGAAACAAACATGAGCTTGTTCCAGCTGCCTCCTCTGTCTGAAGATATAGGTCCTCTTTGTGCTGCTGGTGCAGATCTAAAGAAAAGAAAACAAACAGGATGTTCACAGCACAGAGCTGAGTTAGGATTCTTTTAAATATCAGGCGTTTGTTGCCAAGGGTGAAGTTTGCAGTCCAAGTGCTAACCTAGAAGTTTCTTTTTAATAGCGTGCCACCAGATCTCCTTTGGCTGTCATGATTTTATAAACAGGCTATCTGTGTGCAAAACCCTGGGAACACTCCTTTCTACCTTAATAGTTGAGCCTCCTCGTCTCTCCACATCCATTTACTGTGTCTGGCCTTATGCTTGAGATTGTATAGATCCGTTCCAGACAGCAGCGTTCCTAGAGGTCTATAGTTTTACGGCACTTGATACAACAGCATCCAGATCCATTTCTAAGTCTCCCTGACATTGCAATAACGCAAGTAATAAATACCATTACTAATAGGTTGCATCTGGCTGCCTTTCTGCTTATGTTTGTAAGCCATCTATGCCATCTAGTGGGTATTTTTTTACTTACAAGTGTTTTTCAAACATCAGGGTGTCAACTTAACAAGCCAAAGTCTAACTTTTTACTCAGCGGGAACATAGTTCCAGTCTGGAGAGGAGTTAAGGGGCACTATCACTACCCAAGAAGCCCCAAGTAAACTACAGCACCTTCTAGGTCATCCCTCTGCTACCCTGACACAGCCCTACTCTGCTGATGTAATGGGAGTTGTGACAAAAAAGTCACTTCCACAGCTCTGATATTTTTGGGCACGGGACATCATTCTCTGGAGGCTGAGAAGCCAGCTATCAGTCTTGTAACAGCAAATAGCCATTGTGAAAGGGGATGTGATGGAGCCTGCGTGCCTAGTCTCACTATTTATTATGGAAGTATGAAAATGCAATGTGTGTACGCTGAGCACACGCTATGCAAAGGAAGCCTTTTCTTAACAGATACACGCTCTTAATAGCGATACCACTACTGACCAAATTGTTCCCATGTCATTTAATGGACCATCGGAGAGCGGGGATCCATCAACAGAGAAAACAGATCTAGAAGATAATCATCAAATAATTTATATACATCTGCTTCAGGCTCTTTCTGAAAGGGCAGCTAATTTCAATTGAGATGTTATTCATTGCAGAGAAGTAAGTGATTTGGGGAAAAGTGTAGGTATTCATTGGCTTGAAGTATTTTAGCTACTTAAATTTATGGGAGAGGCAGTGATAGTTAGCATTCAGATTGGGAAGCTCTGTTTTGATTAAGAAGAGCATAGATATGAAGTGAATCAAGGCTATTACATTGCCATGCGTACAGGAGGGAATAGAAGGCTCAGGAAGGAAAGAAGCAAGGAAACTTTTCCTAAGGAGGAGGATAACAGCTGAGTTGCTTAGTAGTTACCCCAGGAGAGTATGAGACTGGTGCTTGGAATACACTAGTGATTATGTTAATTTAAGTACCGACATGGATGGAAAGGAAGGGGTGGCTGCTCCCCTGCTTACATACTGGAAGCACTATGTAGTAATACTGGAGAACTGGTATGCTCATCCCTTAGGTGAAAGAAAAAGACATTAATGGTTTCCAAAAGCCTTTTCATCCAGGTTTCCTCAGCTGAGGAACGTACCCACAAATACAAAAGTTTGAGGGAAATGGTTTAAAACCTGGGAGAAGAGAAAAATCTTCTGTTAAGAGTTCACAATATTATATTTTTTAAAGTCCTGTAAAGTGCTTTTTCCTCCAGTTTGTTAATATTGCCACCATGTTCACATCTGTGATTTTGCATGGAACAACTGTATTTTCCTTTGACACATGAACAAAAGCTTTACCATTCACTGGCAGAACAAGGAAACCCTATTTTAATCCACCATACAAGTGGTACCTAGTAACAAACAAATGCCTTAACAAGCCTGGAAACCTGTTCTATGATCTACTACCTAGAAGGAGTCTCGAGGTTTCGGTGATATCTAAAATGCCACTGGTTTTATCGCACATTTATAGGTTGGTGCTGGGATATAATTTGGATGTAAGAATAAATGTTGTCGCATGACAAGTAAAAGCTTTCAGTGACCAGCAGGAACAGAGAACACTCACTTTCTCTGTAAGGGTGTATTAAAAAATGAACGTATGCTACAGAAAGTGATAGATACCTCCTTTTCTGTACTGCATGAGGCACTACTGCCACACAACCAGAGGCAGGCAAGCAGGAGTCGCACCTCTGCTGCCATAACCAGGGACAGCAAATCAGGTTTTTCATAGCAGAAGTTATCATTGCAGTATTACATGGGTATGAACATATAAAAGATTTGCAGGTGCTTGAATTAGGGCAGAAAGGACAGTAGGAGATAGGATGTAGCCAAATTCATGGATTATGCATAAAAATAATATAACTAGAGAACAACTTTTATGCATCTATCCTGCAGCTTTCCAAACTGTGAGGAAGTTTTCATATTCAGCTGTGCAAATATCTTATGTGTACCTATACATGCAACAGCATATAGATTAAGAAACTTAAACACAATTGAAAACAGTCATCTTTACTGTAAATTCACTGAAATATATAATAAATTCATTTAATCTTCTTTTTATAATAAAGAAAAATATGGATAGGAAGGGAAACTATTAAAACCTAGTTTGGGAGTGATGCTTGTTAATTAAGAACGATGTATCTTGGATGTAATCTGCATTTTCTGCAGATAACCTACGGACCCAAGGTACATACATTAAAATATAGAAATTGGGTTTGCAGACAAAATGGAAGATTAAAAAAAAACTTCCTCAAAATTTGGAACTGAAAGTTCCAGTAGCTGGAAAAATGTTCTTTAGATCTGTTGTCAATTGACCTCCAATTTCATTATCCAAGAAAGAATATTAATGAAAACAATCTTGAATTTGTAATAGATTTTGCATCAGAACACTGATATTTACAAACTTCATTGATACCGTCAGTGATATACAGTGTGATTGTGTGATCGATAAGAACTGATTAACACCTGATTTTGAATACCAGGTGCTCACAGACAATTGTGTACAATTTCTGTAGATAGAAACTGCTTACTCAATATACAGTAATAAATTCAAGAATACTGTATATTGCATATAGGTGATATATAACAGATGATAGAGGTGGAATCTGTTGAACTGTTGACCTCTGCATTATTTCTTTGGTTGTAATGACACTCAAGATGGATTGAACTTCTTTTACTTACGATGAAAGGGTACACTTAGAATCACCAGGATAATCCAGGCAGAGTAAGAACATTACAGGCCTGTGAAGATATCATTTTATTTAGCATCTTTCAGGCAGAAAGCTGAGGAAAACAAATGAAGAAACAAAACAAACTCAACAGTATTACCATGGCTAAAGCTTCCCTTAAGTGATATTTATCTTAATATCTACTGTGAATAACCAGAGCTGTGGATACTACTGTGAATAACTAGTAATTCTGCAGACATTCAACAGTCTTTTTAACTGTTGTTTGGATTTTCAGTCCAAATAAAGATTTTACAGTGAAGTGGAATACATGAGGCCATCTTCTGTGTCTGACATTGGGTAAATACAATGTTCCACTTAATCACACAATTATACAATAAGGTGTAGTGTTTTGCTCAAAGCATGGCTTAGAAATGCTAAGTCTGAAAAAATATTTAAAATAGATGAGGTGCTTCTGCAAATACACTGTATTTATGAAGGATTTTCACTTACTTGTAATTGTCAGTGCAGGTGACATCATAACCAAGGGTTTTCAGCCGGTTTTCTAGTATCTTTACAGTATGAGTTCCACAGGAATCTCTGTGAGAAAGGATTTTAATATTATTGCAAGTCTTTTATTATCTAATTTCCTTTCACTGAACTTGATGGAATTAATAAAGTTAATCCCCATTACTTTCCCTCATCCATATTCCTTAACACCTACAGACAACTGGTGTACATTGCTATTTATAATGCTTCATTTGCTTACAGTGGTTTAACATTTTATACTCAGTTTGCAGAGACTGGAAGATTGGCTTCAGCCTGTGTAGCATTTGCAGATTCTATTAACCAATATTCCCATGTTCAATATTCCACTAGATAAACAGGAAAAGAGCTAAATAATTTTGTAAAATAATAAATGTTTCATTTGTAATATTCTTTGGCAGCTATTTAGATGGTGCTAAAGTTGATGATAGCTGTCTTTACAGAATAGGTTGGTTATAATAAATCAGAATTATTCTTCTTGTTAGAAGCTTGTCCTCTTGCATACAGAACAATAGAAAAACACAGGGAGAATGAAAAAACCCAGAAACAATCCTAAATGAAGCTTCTGTGTCTAGCACTGATTTTATTTTGTGGTCTAATTAGCAAAAGAAAGCTTGACATAGCACAGAACCTACTGAGACCTCTAAAACTTGCACCAATGTCAGGTATTAAAGTCAGTGTTACTTACCCATTGGTCAGTAAATACTCATGACTCTAAAGAAACCATATGGGGATGAACAAAATAATTGTAAAAGCAATTAATAAAAATACACAAATATTCCCATGCATCCAGACAAGCACAAACTGAAAGATAAATTAACGTTCAGTGCTCATCTTAATTTTTCATTGTAATAAGGGCAACTTCTGCAAAGGTGAGCTATATGGTTTTTTGTTCCAGAAGGGTATGATTCTTTGATTTAAAGAGAAAAGCTGAGAAATGCTGATCTGAACTATGCTTCTCTTGTCATAGACTCCACAGCACTACGGTAAAATATGTGGTCTGGGTTGGCCATGCCAAAATTTGATGAAAGAGAAGGAAAAGGAGATAGGAAAGAGAAGAGATGGTATGGGAAAGAGAAATGACACAAAATGAATGGATATAACTAAAAAGGGTTGAGTAGCAATAACAGAAGCCTCACGCTCCTAAGAATGCAGATGACACCAGGGATTCAGCCACCAGTGGTGGATATGGTGACATCTGAGTCTGTTTCTCTGGCCCTCTTCAGCCAGGGCAGTTTTAAGAGCAATGAAGTGCCACCATATGTTATATTAAATTGCAGGGACCCTGCAGATGGTTGGGGTAAAACTGACTTCCTCTGCTCCTCTACCCTCGATTCATTTGTGTACATTTGTAGGGGCCCCCACAAAAACTATAATGAATTAATTCTTCCTTTAATCAGTCCCAAACCAGGCCTAATTATTTTATTTTGTTAACTTCAAAGTCCATTTTCCACTGTGTTTCTGTTGAAAAACTTCACTTGGTCTTTGACTATTTACCAACACGCTATTCTGTTTGGACCGATCTGTTTTTTGATTGTTTTAAATGTAATTAACAGCAGAATTAGACCTGTTAAAGCCTACTTTTTGTTGTTGGATTGATTTTAAGTATTGAGAGAAGACAAGCCCCCTGGTGGTATTTCCCTCCTTCTACTAATTTCCAAACAGTTAAAATAGGTGAAAATGAAAAGTATGCATTTGGCAAGGTAAAAGAAATATTTTACGTGAAAATTTAATCTGAAATTCAGACTGACCCTTTTCTTAGTAAAACTGTTTATGATGTACCTTCACTCAAGGTCTGAGGTCCACACATGCTTATCTCTAAACTAACGAGTGGATTCCAGACCTAGTATTCATTTTTATTTTATCTAATTCTGGTATTTATATATACTCTGTGGGAATGGCAGAGTGTGCCTTATGTGTTAGTGAAAGCATCTAAAATATTTTAATTGCTATACAAATATAACCAAACAGAAAACTAAGGCGAAATTTTAAAGACAGGTTCAAAAAGGAGAAATGAATTTTTTTTGGAAGATATAACTTACGTATCTGGTCCTTCAATATCATCCACAACCCAGATGACAATTTGTGAGATTTTGTCTTTCTGGAGATTAGGTATTTCATAATCTGCAAAAAACCTGATTCAAGAAACAAATATTTAGAACTATAAAGAACAAGAAAAAGAAATCTTTTTTTCGCTTCGCAGTAATCAAAGTTCTGATCCTCCTGTAGTATATGGGCTTACTTTACATTGATATCTTCTGATTACAATCAGACTCAACAGAGAGTAGAAAAAAATCTGATTGACATTCTGAATGTCCTCAAAGGTCAAAGGCATTTAATCAGAAGTTTTGTTTTCATATTCTTCATTGTAGAGGGGCTCCGCTGAAAAAGTTACAACTTAGAGGTGAGCCCGAATGAAGCGAACTTTAACAAATGCAAAACCAAAACAAAAAGCATTTGATACTTAGTAAAAAAAGAAAAAGGTCATTCTTGTAGTTATTGCTTTTAGACACAATACAGTTTTGCTTTAAATAAAAAAACAACAGCCACAAGACAAATATATTTTCAGATACAAAATCACAGCAAGAATAACATGAAGTATTTGTCTAGGACACATAAGAGCACAAAAGAGAAACTTCTAGACGTGTTCATCCCTGGCCTAGGAATAATCTTCCGCTTTATTGCCTTGTGTAAATTGACTTTGATAGGTATTTAAATGACAATTAAAACAAGGCAATAAAATGGCAACTAAATCTTCTTACATTAAATGAAAGATGCCGAATCCAAAGGACTATTTTAATGTCTGTAAATTGAATTTTTTGTGAGATGCAGGGATTTCAAAGCCACCGATTTCTAACCTTTCCAGCCAGATGTACTGTAATGATTTCCAACCTTTTAATTGCTCTTTTTTTTTTTTCTCTCTCAGAAAGCTTGTAAGGGCTGTGTCTGCACTGCACGTTTGGTCCAAGCCTGAGTCTAGGTGTGTGCTCTGATTTGCCTATCATGGGCCTTCTTAAATGTCTACATCTGGGCCGAAGTGTCTCTTAGCCACTTTAAATGCTCTAAGACCCCCCAGACTAGAAGGGACTGTTAGTTGTCACCTCCAGGATGAGACCAGCGGTAGCAATGTGACCACCGCTCTGTCCTCCTGGTGCCTGCAGGCAAACTACTGGTGCTCTGGTGTGGAAGCACAAGATGCACGGTGGTTGTCAGTGTCTGTTGGCAGCCAGACGAGACGTGTCATGAAGTTACCAAGTTAATTTAAACTTCTGGAGAAGTGGAACATGAGGAGGTGGATACCAACTGCCCACTCTGGTCAAGTCTGGTATAGCGGTGGCTAACCAAAGACCAGTAGCAGCAACAGTAGGTTTGCTTGTCCGTCTAAGGTGTCCAAGCATGTCTTAGTGCAAATATAACAAAAAATAAAGATTCTAGTTATTTTTAACTCATTTGCTCGTTCATGCATATCTAATTGCCCACAAAAATGCAGCTTCCTCCAAAATATAAAGGAATCTTTAACTAGAGGAGTCAGAAACTGTGGAGAACAATGTACAATTGACTTCAGTAAACCAGTTCTTGAGCCAACTAATATTAAAGAAGTCTGCCAACTACATTCAAACTGTGTGAATGAACTAAGTTATTTTGCAGTGATGTGAGAAATAAATCTTAACTGAAATGATAACAGGGAACTTAATGATGATTTAAGTGTACAAACTGTAATGCAGGATAAACTTTGGAAGTGGCTTTGAAATGCCTGTAAATAGACCAGAGAGATGTTTAGGAAGACAGGTAGATCTTTTAGATCACCTTCTGTTATTAATTATTCAACTCTAAGCCTCTTTCAAACAAGATCTCTTAAATGAATTCAGTCATAAATGGGCCAGAAGATGCACAGCAAAGGAAACAGATGGAGTAACTGGCTTTGTTTTTTTCTTGGCAGGCTGTGTTCCAGTGGAGGAGATTTCACTGGTCACGATACCAACAGACAGGCGACCCAGGGAACTGGTGGAAAGAATTAATATATGTGTAAGAGGCTTCTGAAATAAGGAATCTGTTTCTGAAATAAGGGATCTATAAGGGATTCTGGGGATTGACCTGCTGCCAGGTATTATCATTTGCAGAAGACTTGATCCCAGCTGACCACCTGACCAACCCAAGGAGACCATATAAGTCTTCCTGATTAGCTGAAAGCTGTGTACAGAGATGGAGGTAAGTTGGTAGTAGGTGTTTTGGAACAGATGAATCTTTTTTCTCTCCTATCCTGGAGATAAAATTAACTTTTCAATGATAATTTTCAGTCCTCAGTGAGTATGTAGGAGCAGGATCTGTTCTATGTTTTTTTTTTTTAAGATTTTTTTGATCTGACTTGGTCAGGACAGTTGCTGAGGTAAGGAAAGATGTATTTTTCATCAAAGGCAGGCAGTCGCTACAACTACATAGTCAGTAAAAGTTCTTAAAGGTGTGTTTTTAGAATAAATCTTAAATATAAACTTAGATGAACTGCTGCATAGTGGTACACTTGTAAATCAAGGAAAATACATCTATCCTTAATATATGAGGGAATAAGGAGAAGAAGGAGCTAATCCTTGCTATTATCCTTCTAAATGAGCTTTTTTGCTTTCTTAAACCATAATGGATCTCAAACTACCTCCTCTCTTGGTCATGGAGAGATAGCAGGATCGAGTACTTTTGCTATAGAACTTAACAAGTTTGCTCCTAGGCCTGACAGAGGCTACACTCCCTGTAACAATGTCCTCTCCTTGGAGATGTCCCTGAATAGAAATTTTGTAACACTCATCTTTTTGAAGACATACACATTTTGCCACAGTATGTTGGCTGACTTGAAGGCTGCTTTCAAAGAGCATTTATCCTGCTTGCCACAGCACTTTGTAAAATGCAGGAGTCAAAAGGATTGTTTTCATCCATTTCATGTTAATTCCTACAGCTGGGGACAATTAACAGTTGCCCCCACAACTCAGCAGACTGATGCAACGAGCTCTTTCAGCTACACCTCCCACGCTTTGTGCAGCAGAAGACCCAAACAACTGCCTGACCCTTTTTCTTGCAGGCATCAGACCTTGTACACATAAATAAGTCAGTTTTCTTACCCTGGGACTGGATAAGCTCCTCCGACTGCAGAACCATTCAACAAGACATGTATCACCCCAGAACTGTGCTTCGCATACTGCAATACATAATAATTTTTTTTCAGAACTCATCTTACAGATTTGTCACGTGACTTGGTATTGTATTGCAAGCAACAATGACCAAGGAAAAAATTTTACCAAGAAGAGTATCAGAATTGTGAAAATAATATCAAATTAGCACCCTAGCAGGTCACTGCAGTTGAGAGGACAAGAATTCAATGCATCTTCTCAAACTATTTTCTCAAACCTATAGTTTCTTCAGCATAGAAAGAAAGCATTTTGGCACTCTGTGTTGGGTTTGATATGTGAATAAAGGCTCTCAAATGTCACTTAGGATCTGTATTCACCAGACTAGTGTGCTTATTCTGCTTAGTAGGTGCTTAATATGTATTAACAAAGCTAACACAGAATTTTAACACATTGTCTAGCTAAGGTGGAAGTTAGGTTCCCCTTGATAAAACACTGTACCCAGTCTAAAAAAGCGTATTTGTATCATAGGAAATAATCTAGCACAGTTACAGACTTAAATCTGTTTTGATCTGGCGATGTTTTCCTGAACCACCCAGGACACACTCACTAATGTACAAAGTCAGCACTAATGCACTATTTACAGTGATTGAAGCCATCCTCCAGAAAGATTCCACCGCGTTGTTTTCACATTCCTTCGTGGTGGGGCAGGATTCATAATCCAGTCCTGTAGGAAGGCATGTGATTTGTGCTATTAGAGAGGTGATAATGGCCACAAAAAGTTACTTTAGAAAGCAGTTAAATATATTCCTGCATTACTCACTGAACATACAAGATGGTCTGACATAACACTGAAAGCTGACAGTTGTATTTTTTTCTATCATTTTCCATCCTTTGCAGTTTACACGAACAGTGACATTAATCAATAATTTGGCTGAAACAGCTCTAACTCTATACCTAGGATGCAGAGAGCTCCACATTCAGAGGACTAAGAAGGAGGTTTAGCTCCTGTGCAGCACTGTTTAGATGTCACTGTGTGCTTCCCTGACTGCAATGTTAAATATTCACACAAAACAGGAGAGAATGAGACAGTGAAGCTATATCTGATTTGTCTTGGAGCAAAATGAGCTCCTCCAGAACACAGCAGTCGGTCTCCATTATGTTTTTACAGACAGATGTTTAATATAGCACTCATCGTCTTACCAGTGCTGTTTGCCTGCCCACACCAGTTTAGAAAATCTGCAAAGAAGCCAAACAGGGTATCACCCAGGGACATGTAGCGACGGCCTCTGCCAGCAAAGCTATTGACTAGCAGCTGATTATTTTCCCAGAAGAGAGACTACATAAAAAAAGGAAAAGGAGAAGAAATGAACCATCACTCAGGTGCGGACACAATGAGATTATGGGGTATTAAAAACAGTTTAAAACATGTTTTGGTATTTCTTTCAAAATTAAGCTAATAACCAGACATGTTAGCTATCTCTTTAGAGGAACAAAGTTTGTTCTTACAGTGGTGTAAATTATGATCACTAGAGGCTTGAGGGGCATTGATACCATGCCGGGAATGGATATAGACCTATATTAAATATAGTTAGGCCTAGCTTTGCCTTCCTCAGCAGACAGATTTAGGAAAAGGGAGAAAAAAGGGAAGACAGATATTCATAAGTGAGGTCTATCTTAGCAGAATTTTCTCATACTGCTATGTTGGCTTATAGTGTGAAAAAATCATATGCCTAGCTGTTATCACTGTGTTTGCAAAACTCTCTCATGAATTAACCTATGTTGACAGGAGTATTTGTTGGTTTAGCTTGTATCATTTAGAGATAAGGAATAATTGTGCCAGAAGAAAAACTGCTTTAAAGCACAACCTTTTAGAGAAGGCCAAAGCACACATTCTGATGGGATATGATGGCACGAAGAGCCGTGTTTTTTGCACTTTCACAGTTCTCTGCAATTGCCAGCACATCAAACACTTAGTGTTTTCTAGCATATAATGGTGTCCTATCTCATTTCTGCTTATGCTTGTTTAACATGTCAATGTTTAACATGTCACTGCCCTGAGACTTGGCTGTGAGGAGCGGAAGCAAAAGATGATAGCAGGCACAATCTTTGCAGGCAGAGCACCTAACTTGAGGAGAAGTAGAAAATCAAGGACTACAACAGAGCTCCCAGCACGGCAGCAAAAATGGGAGATCTTTGTAGAATGAAAATAGAGAAGTTGCTGGGAAGTTACTGCATAAAGTAAATGCAGCCAAAGACACTGAAAAATGCCATCAAGCTTGAGCCTAGTTTGTAAACTACAGACAGGACAAAAATAATGATTCATGTATCAGCCACAGAAGGACTCTTTGTCAATTTTAAACTGTGTCATGGCAAATCTGCTGGATGTCACAGGGCTGTTAACATAACATTAATAATCATTACCTTGTTAGGTGGAATTGTGTGCAATGACAGGTTGATAAATAATTCATAGTCCTTAGGTAGAATGCTGCAAGGATCCTTGTTAATGAATGCATTTTTAAATGCTTCCCATATTGCTGCACAATTCTTCTCACTGTAATCATTGAAACAAATAGCAGAATTGTTTATTCAAAGCAGAGCAAGAAAGTAATTTGTTCCCAACTTCTTCAAATTCCAAAATTAAAAATGCCACAAGGTTAAAATAGAAAACTGAAGTCAGGGTGGTAGAAAACTTGCAACCCAGGAAGAGCATATAGGTCTTGGCTTTTCCTGACTCCTAACAGCAGCAGATTAGGAAGAAGTAGCAATGAAAATATTAGGATTTACAGTGTGGAATTAGAAATACATAGTAATTCCACAAAAATCTTAGAAGGTACAGTGTACACAGTGAGCTTGCTATCCAGCATTGTAGAAATACTAAAGAAAACAGTTTGCTTTGAAATTTTGCAGATTCAAAAAGCTCTTTCATTTAAAGCGTAGCTACATGTGCAAAGCTACTGGAATGTAAAATTACTCTTAAAATGTCAGATTCAAGTGCAGGAGGAGTTACTAAAAAGTTCTGATGGTAAAATAATGGTTTTGACAAAGAGATGCCTTCTGTGTATACAGACCCTGGGATTATGCAGCTTTACCTTGCTGGAATGAATACGCTGAGCATGTGGGACACGTACGGTCACTGTGCAGTACCTACAAAAATACTGTTTGGATTCAACATTTAAACTGCTCGTGTAGAGGGCCTGAAATAAGGTGCTAGGCTGTGCACTTCAACAGTTCCCTTCTGCCAGCCCTCCACTGGGGACAATAATCTCCCGTGGAAGGCCAGGCCAGGCCAGGCCATCTAGGGATGGAAGTGTCTTATCGCTCTGGATTTGCAGGATCTCATCTGTCACAGCTCTGAGCCTGCCTGGAGTAATTAAAAAGGGAATTGCTACTTTCACCACTTTCCCACAGTACCTTCCCCACATACGCTGTGACAACGTCTATGCTGGGAACACTCCGCAGAACAGAATAATGTATTTTATGTGCACACAGCATTCCTAATGCGAACAGCTGTAATTGCAAAGCTGTAGCTTGAACAACAGTAGTCCCAGTTAAGTAAACCAAACTTTGCCATTAGAGTGTTTTGCTCATTTAATGTCATCCATAGACAGCGGGGTTTCTGCTGGCACTTCTCGTGAGAATTCCTTAAGGAGCTGCTTTGCGATGCTGAATGTCACAGATAATTTAAAGTTAAAGGACCCCTTGTGAAGAGCTATGCCGCTCCCATGCAGGAAAGAGATCACACATTCTCTTACTTACAGAGATTACTATCTCTGGTCATGCTTCCAACAACTATATAAAAAACCGCAATATATCGTAAGCAAATATGGGATCTTGATCTGAAAATCTTCAGTGCTGCAATATGACCCTTGATCAGTAGTTCCAATGTTTAAACAGCCTTACTTGATACAAGGATTTGCACACTATTTCTGATTTCAAGCTGTTAAACTTTAGCTTCTGACAACTGTATATACTTAAGTCTCATTCTGCTAAAGAGCTGTCTACTGTAAGCACTCACTTATTCATGCTAGTACTTGTAAATCATGATCAACTGAACTGTTTACATCTTTCTTGACAGTTGAATCCAGCAGTAATTTTCTGGTTAATTCACTTACTGCATTTTTTTTCTTCATGTCTTCTCACCCAGGTTTGAACAGCTTGTAAATCAAAAGGATTATTCTGCTCTGTTACTCAAAATTTCTTAGCTGGCAAAAATACTTTTTGAAACTACAGGGTGGGGAAGGACTATAGTTCAGGACAATTCCTTCCAATCTTAATAGGCACTAATAAGTCATATTAGATTTATTTCATACTAATCAGTTAAAAAAAAATATGTTTTTAAAACTTCCATTATATACTACTGTGCTGTTTTTGGCTGGGATAGAGTTAATTTTCTTCATAGTAGCTACTATGGGGCTATGTTTTGGATTTGTGCTGGAAACTGTTGATAACACAGGGATGTTTTAGTTATTGCTGAGCAGTGCTTACACAGAGTCAAAGCCTTTTCTGCTTCTCACCCCACCCCAGCAGCGAGGAGGCTGGGGGTGTGCAAGAAGCTGGGAGGGGACACAGCTGGGACAGCTGACCCCAGCTGACCAAAGGGCTGTTCCATACCATAAGGCATCATGCTCAGCAATAAAAAGCTAGGGGAAGAAGAAGGTGTATGTTGGCCCGTGTTTTCGTGGAGAGGGCTGAACACCTGCCTGCCGATGGGAAGCTGTGAATGAATTCCTTGCTTTGCTTTGCTTGCATGCGTGGCTTTTGCTTTACCTATTAAACTGTCTTTATCTCAACCCATGAGTTTTCTCACTTTTACTCTTCTGATTCTCTCCCCATCCCACTGGGGGGGAGTGAGCGAGCGGCTGCATGGTGCTCAGTTGCAGGCTGGGGTTAAACCACAACAACCACAAAACTATTATAAACGTGAGACATATAGAAATACTTTCAAGAATATTGTATTTATATTTCTAAAAGCCCAAATCAGTTAACTATAAAGTTAACATTTCCACAATAACAATCCTTTATGTTGCTCATTTTAGTGTATTCTGTATTATTAGTCATGTCCTGCTTCAGATATAAATGAAGTGACATCTGTTAACTCCAACAGGAACTCTACCTATCTAGAGCCTATGGTGAGACCAGACTTCGTATATCTATACAACTGTTAACTGACTTAAGTTTTTGTAGTTTATATTATACATTATATTGTAGGTATGTAAAAATCTATAGTTAAAGTTTATTGGCACCTTCCACTGTGATGTGTTTATAAATTTGCCAAACTTGAATTGTTCAGCTGAAATTTTAGTACTGTGTTATTGGCATTAAGATGATTTTTTCTTTCACTGGGAACTTGAACCAAAACTCTTCTTGTAAGTTAAGAATGTTATTAGCAAGAAACATGTTTTGCCTTTGTTAAAAACCATGAACCTGTTTTCAGCCCTGTATCTTCCTGTTTTGCAGCAGGAACTGAAAATGGGAGGTTGGGGGAAGGAGGTGATATTTGCTGATATTATGCAACACAATCAAATGCTGATTAAGACCACAATTCAATGCTGCAGGCACCCAGCCAGGCCCCCTCTGCAAATCCCTCTTCAAACTATCAGGAAAAATTTTAGTGGCAGAATAAAGGACTGAACTCCAGGAGACTGTCCTGCTTAGTTTCTTCCTTTTTACTGAAGCGCAAACAATGCAAGGAGGACAGAAAAAGTGGTCATTTTACCAAAGTGTGTGACTGACTGACTTCCAGTTCTGTGTAATAAACACAGACAATGAAAGCTCATGGGTAATCATACTTCAGCAGTTGATTACTACTTGATTCTTCAGGTGGATGGGCTATTCAATCTCTTTCAGTACCATAGGATAGCTATAAAGTGCGGTGCTTTCCTTCTTGCATGACCTGACATACAAGGCATGCAAAGTAAAGCTGGTCTTCCCAGGAGCACTGTGAGATTTGGTACTTCAGAAATACCATCCCCACCACTTCTGTGCAGTGTTCTCCTTACAGAACACTGTGGCACTAGGGGGGCAGAAATGTGAAATAAAAAGTTGAAGGATTAAAAATCTTGCCTTAAGTACATTACTTTTATTAATATGACATCCACCAAACTTCGTTTTTTGTTTCCAGACAGCTACAAGCATGTTGGCTTCAACAGGATCACTTTCATGGCTAGGAGCAAAACATCAGGCTTCTGATTAATAACCATTTTGTACGGAACACAAAAAACTAATCCAGAAATAGGCAAAACTTACCCAACAGCAGGATTCACAACTCTAATATAGTCATAGCATCTTCCAATGACAATACTTTCCAGGTTTTGCGTTGTACCTTCGCCCTTCCATTTCCTCCCCTGCACTTCTGAGAAGCTGTTCATGAACAGAACAGAGACAAGTAAGAGAGACAAAAAAAGGCTCTTCATCATGAATTCTTGACAACCCAAATTCTTAAAACAAAAAGGAAGAAAAAAAAAAGAGTTGTACTGTATTGTATTAAAATACAATTTTAATGGAAACCTGGAGGCTAAACATTTAATATTTTCAGTACTGGCTATAGCTCCGTACACAAAAGATGAAGACAGACGGAAATCTGAACCTTGCTGGGGACTATAACCTAACTGTTTCCTGGAACGATTGCAGCACAGGGATACATCACTTCCTTATGCCTAACTGTTCCCCACTTCAGCAAAACGAGACTTCTAAGGTCATGATATTGCCACCTGGTGATAACTGGGAAGAATTACAGTGTATTTCAGTAAAAAGAGGAAAAAACCTCTTGCCACTTCAGTATTTATGATGCCTTAGGTTTGTTTAATAGTTGTTGCCATGCTACACCTTCTTGAAACATCACAAGTGCTTCCAAGCAACATGTTTTAAAACAGCTTCTTTTCTTTTTAAAAAGGCTACACTTTTTACACATATTTCTCTAATGGCTGAAAAAAATTTTCTGAAATACGTATAAAGAAATATGCAGGTAAAGTGCTGATCTCACAAACATCCAAATTCTCAGGTGATCTTGTATCACACATAGGGGTAACATCAGTCAGCTCTTTTTGCACCTCTCCCCTGGATACTGACAGCAACATTTTGGTGTGATGATATGTGTTTTGAAGTCTTCTTCATGAACAAAACTGTGTTGCAGGCAGGGATCAATCATACTGAGGACCAAAAGGATTAAGACATACTTTCTGTGCACTGAAGAAATCTCTTCGACTTCTGTTTATTCTTATTCTCCCTCCAGCTTCTTTTTCCTAAGAACTTTCTTAGATCATCAAGTGGCATCAATTAATCTCATCTTCAGTGTAAATATTCTGCGGTATACGCTGCTGCAAATACAGCCACATTACTTTTTTCCCTCTTTAAAAAAAATATTTTTTCAGCCTTAGAGTAATTTGTCTATGGACTCACATTTCTGAGGAGCATGCTGGTTCTTTTTCCCCTTCTATTAAACAGTCTCCATGCCTCAGTGAATATATACATCTTTATTATTTATGTACTTACTTATATAGTGTCATGCTTACATTGATGCACTGGTACTTAGCTGATGGATTTTGCTGAAGGCAAAACCTTTCTAATCATTGAGTAAATTGCTGATGATGGACTGGATTTCTCCTGTAAATGTGATAGAAAGATAAGCAGTTCGTTTGTTACCTGCAGCAGAGTCTTCAGAAAAGCCAGATTTACCCAGAAACAGATGTCCAATGCTGTGCTTGATATGGTGGAGACACAGCAAATGCTGTACTTCAGTTACTTCTCTGATGCTTTTTTCTCCCTATTTCTCTTCCTAACCTCTCTGAAACATGGCCACGCTGATAGGGCACCAGCATGTTAATCAAACGTTTTCAAGTCACTGCTTTGGGTTCAGGATTAGAGAGTGCAATAATCCATGGAAGTCAATGAAGCTTTTTATTATTATCAATTTTGTTGCAACCAAATTTTGCTCAATAATTTCAGGGCTAACAGAAACCAGAGGCATCATTGATGTGATCTTCTATATAGAACAGGGCAGAAATTGTCACTGATTTTTGCATCAAGACTAAAACTTCTGCTTAAAATATACAGTACAAGTTAAAAAGCCATGAAGATGAATACCGACTTTTGGAATGGCTTTTCTCCAAGGACGCGCCAGGTTAGGACTCATCAACTCTGGCAAGAAGATGTGGGTGCTGCTCAGTGGTGTTCTCCAAAAAAGAGATGACCTGTCATAACATCCCAGAGGGAATGGAAGTAAGTCCAACAACTGCTGGGACCCATCTCACCCCCTATCGAGCTCCCTTTCCTCACTGGCCACTTCTAGAAACACAACATCAGGCCAGAAGGGCCTCTGATCTCAGCACAGCCATTTTTAATTTATGCTCTTAGTTTTGATTTAAATACTTCATGTGATGGCTAAACTAACACACCTCTGGGGAAACTGGTTCAATGGTTTGATAGCCTTGAGGGTCAAATCTTAGCTCTGGCCTGAACTTGTCTACCTTTAGCTTCCAGTCATTGGATCTCACGATGTCTTTTTCTGTTACACTAATGAATAGTCTACCCTCGGAAATCTTCTTTCCATGTGAACTCTTGTAGAAAATGACCAAGTCTCCTCTTAAAATTGTCCATGAAAAATTCAGTATTTTAATCTCATTATCACGCACTTTCTCTTGTAGTATTGTACTTTACTGCCATGAACTGGCTGTCCATCTTGCCTCCCAAGCTCTGGCAATTCATGCTGGATGCAGATTGCTCTCCCTCGCTCTCTGCCTCTCTCTCCTAGAAGAGGGTATTGCCCATGAAGCAGAGTCAGCAAAATTGGCAGCGTATCTGCTCTGGAGATACTCTAGTTCACAAACTGAATATTAACTCAAACGACCATGAAATTCAGCATATGTTTATATTCTGAAGCCCTGGGAAGATGAGGAACAGACGTGTCCTCTCGTTACTTCTACCAGATGGGAGTGGTAACTTCCAGCAGAAGGGAGGTGTAACAGGTGGGAACATTAATCCTTTATTATTACTCAGGCATGAATTGCTGGCAGAGTAACTCCAATTCTGTACGACCTCGTGCTTTAGGCCTGGAAATATGACTTTGCAACTGCTCATACTAACAAGCTCCTCTGTAAGCAATGAACTTCACCAAACATAGTTTCTCGAGGGTCTGTGTCTTTGGTGCATAATTCTACCTACAGCAGTAACCTGAGGCCTCACCCGCTCCCTTGTAGGCTCTGATACACGCTCTGGGCAAGAAATGCACAAGCTCAAAGCCAGAGCTGTGCTTTCTAGCCAAGCCGTAAAAGCAACCATGTGCTTGCTGGCCAGTGGCATAACACCTGCGCTTTGCCTCCCTTTTCGTCTCTCATTGTGTAACTGCTTTTTTTCCCCAAAGTTGTACGAATTTAACCTTCCAAGATTTGTACATATTTGCAAATATGATTAAGTAGGCCAGCATGTTCAAAAGTCCTTGGAGGTGGAAAGGATGAATGGAAAAGGAAACACCCAGTGCTGCAGTTACTTAAGCCTCATTTCCTTAGATAAAGAGATAAAAAGATTATTGTGCACAGTGTGATCTAGATAACCCTCATCACGTGATTTCTCCTTCTCAATTCACTATCTACTACTTTTACCAGCAATAATTTCACATTTTATTCCCAAGCATTAGTACATTGAGGAATACTGGACTAAAACCACATGTGCCTTTGCTCGAAATATTTCAATCTGTTTACCATTAATTGCTTACATCTATAAACTAGCTAGCTTTTAATCTATTTAATATCTCAACATAGATTTTGTGCAGTAACAGTTTTCAGTCAGAAAGGTCTGCTGCATTTATTGCACGTGTGACAAGGCGTTTTTGAGACACTGGGTACACGTTGCCATGCTGGGCCGATGGTTTTACTACACGTTGCCATGTTGGCTGACCAGCTACGCCTTTTGTCGAACCGATGCGCGATCCCAATTCTGCTAAATGTTCCTCCTTTTTTTGAAACGTTGCATGGGCAGATGAGTATCAAAGGCTGGTGTCCCTGCTCCTTTTGTCTTGGGTGTGAAACAAACGCAGCATTTAACTCCGCTTATTTGGGAGAAACGCCGCAAGAAGCTGGGGGCAGATCCGCGCTGCAGCCCAGCTGGGGACGCGGCACGTCCTCCCTCACAAACACGGCTCCACCTGCAGACGCCCTCTTTATTCCTCACATCTTGTCATCTCATGAGTTTATCCGGGTGAAGCGACGTTTCTTTACCTCATGTAAACGCACAGTTCGATTTTTAATCCCTTCCGATTTAACTGAGGGCGTAAGACCTGCCGCGCCCCCGGCGTGCCAGGTTACCTGGCGGGCAGGGAGACCCGCTCCCGGGGGACAGCGGCCGCGCCCCGGGCGCAGCCGGGGAG